GCTGCTATATAAGTTAAAAAATAAGGATAGACAGAGTAGGAACAAGAGAGTGAATAAATAACGTGGTAAATAATAATAATAATGTGAATTGTTTGACGGTAAATCGCGGCGTGAATAGAGTTTTCAGAGAAAATCGTCATTTTCATTATATTTGTGTGTGGGCTGTGATACTGCCCGAGTGGCCAAACCGAAGCAGGTGGTTTTATTAGGGGGCCACGCTCCGAGCCTTTGACCTAAAGGTCTAATCCACAAGGCAGTGAAGCATCGTGAGGAGATGCAGTTCCATGGTAGCCGGTGACCAACAATTGGTTCATACGCCACTTGTTCCTTCAGGATACTGGAGCCCATGTGCACCATTGATTTGAGATACGGCCAGGCTAAATCTAACGAGAAAATATCGGCCTCCGAATATTACCTGGATTAATAGTCAATAGCTTTAAAGCCAATGCTATATCTCTATTTGGTCTTTTTGACAATGATATAACTATTGGGAAGATTTTATATGACACTAGCAATGAGCAATGGTAGATTATTAATCTAATACCCAGTAAAGAAACCGAATATAACAAGGTTGTGCTTTATACGAGAGGGTAGTAAAAGTGGTTAAGTGTTTATTCAAAATGTTATTTGTTAGCCATTTCTATTATAGATCACTCGTTGGGAATAAGTTGAAGATATTTTGCAGAGAGACTATGGGACTTTGTCAAAATTAAATTATGTAAGGGCTGATGTGCATTGGCACTGATCCGAATTTTAACACATTAGGACAGAGAGGAAATTGACCAGGTGATATTCCTCTTATCTACTACTGTTGTAAAAAGAAAACTTTTTGTAGTACCATCAGCACACACTATGAGAATGAAGGGTATTTTATAAAAATTGACGACGCAAAACAATTATTGCCCATTCATTATGGGTATGTATGCGTTGAAATTACTAAGTAAAGTTGAATTTAGCGCTTTCTTACGTACTTACTAAATGCACTTCTGTTATCAACGATTTTGAACTGTATGAGACGAACTTTCTAATATGAAGGACGTACCTGATAGGACAAAGGTTGATTTATATCACTCAAGAAACTATTAAAAGTTATTTACACCCCGAGATCCTACTGATGTACATTAATGCAAAATATTAAGTTAGCCATGATTAGCAATAAGTCCGCCAAAATATCAGAGGTTAGAAAGCACTTATGCTAAAACAACTTAACTTATCCCCTGGGTACCTTGGTACTAACCATACTTTAGGTGTTGGGGCTAATATTACTAGTCGGGAACATAATGAATATTATGGAAGGCGAGTTTATATAATGGTATCTTTGGTTCTGGCAATTATTATTCACCAGCTGGGAGAGGGTATGCCTTAGAGACATTAAAAATAACCGGTCGATTAACAAACTACCATAACTAGGGACTATATCTCTACAGACTTACATAGATACTGAGGTTATGAACTTCTTGACCGCTACAACTTTCATCATGTTTTATCAACTCTAACACAGAAGCCGTCCAAATTGAAAAAAATGATTTTTCAATTGGGTCAGTTTTATTCAGCAATCACTGCAATCTGGCATTGATCGCATTGAGGTAAATTGGTCAACGATAATTTTTCTTTCAAACGGACCATAGTTTTCTCAAGTTGTCAACCGTAGCACAGCTGGATTTTCATGTTTGTGTCAGGGCCAAAAATCGTGGCTTTTAATACCTCTTGGCTTGGGATAACATCCTATGCAGTTGATGAATGCGACTTTTGGATTTACTTTCATATTTACACCATCGCCCACCATGAAAAATTGATTAAATTGAATTCCTAAAGTATAGTAGCCATAATTTCGTGATGAGCAACAGATGCTAACATGTGACAGTGATACGTTTAAGGAGTCATTGTGAACTCTTTCTTTGTCAACTCCGTTTTTATGGACTAGTTATTTGGCAACGTCTACTGTTGTTTATTATAGATGTATCACTAAAAAACATAATTTTATGATTTTTAGGTATCGTTACCAAGGTTTGACTTGATAATTTCAAATAAACTGAGAATTGGGTAGATTCATATAAACAAATTAATATGTTTGTGATACCCCAATCAGTATAAAAATTAGATTTTCTGACGCTTCGTGACTCAGTGTGAGCCAGTTCTTCAAAGAATAAATAACCAAATCAGAAATAATCTAAGTTTATATGGTACATAGGAACAACTCAAGATATTAGATTCAGTTATACAACAATTACGTGGATAACAAGTATGACCTTCACACAACTCTCTTTGATTGATTTTCCATCCTTTTGATGCTAATGACTACGAGCCACTACTGGCTGCGATGAACAATATTTGTCTTCAGCAAATAATCTACATTACGGTCTGTAAATAAATGACATTGACAAACAGCACTCTTACTCTTAATTGATTTGCTTCTTAAATGCTGTGATTTTGTATTTAGAAGGAAATCCTATTCACGTCGATTTTCCTTCAATACAATCGCACGACACAACTCCTGCCCTTATAATACCTCAATCGACAGCAGACACACACGTTGATACTTTGACAGTATCCGAAAATAAACTCAAAACAACGCGTTCTGGAAGAAGAGTAAGATTTCCAGAACATTTGAACGATTACTGCACGTAAGACACAAGCTATCATTTTATATCCTCTCGATTTTCCCTTGTACTATATATGATTTTTAAAAAAAACCGAATTTAATATGCTTATATATTTTTATTAATTTTTTACTTCAAAAAAGAAAAAACAAAAAAATAACGATATTATAAAAATCCTTTTTTACGCTATTACGTGAGCATGAGTTTGTTTTCCTTCTTCTTCGCCCGTTTTGTGTTTTCACGCGCGTACGAGTGTATTCCGACATGCACTTACATATTTTTCTTTTCTTTTCCAGGACGACTGGAAAAGACGATGAAAAGAACGGTGAAGTTGAGAGAAACGAAAATCTGTATTGTACCTTTTTTTACTATATTGTACATCATGGTCCATTATAGTAAGGAAAGACGACCAGACGCTGCTAAACCTAGCAAGCTATCGGAAGAGTGTTTACCAACGAAAAACTCGTTGGGTTTAAACTTCTGACTGGCCACGTCTTAGGGTCATCACTATCCCACTAAGGGGGAGTGATCTGTAGCAGTAAATAAATCCCCAAAATCAAATAGCTCTGTAAGTTTTCGACATTGGATGCTGACCACAGTTTTAGTGGACTCATCTAGCTGAAGGCGCTCAGTCAAGCATCCGCACCAGATCACGTGTGGGAACGCCGTGCTCAACATCTGCCGCAATCGCTAGCCAGATTAGTGCAAACGATCCTCGATATATTGATAGCTTATCAAATATATCTTCGATCTGCTCACTTCTGTCTTTTGATTTTACTTGGTGGGTGCGCTTTGTATTAGAAGGTGTTACTGGTTAAAGCGTTGTCAAACTCCGAATACCTGTGGCATCTTCATTTTCATCAATATATCCGTAAACACTGTTCTACGGGGCGCGATGTTTGTATGTGACGGAAAATCAAACGCTCATACGGGTAATTAAACACAAAAGCTATATTACATCAATTTTCCAGACATGATTTTCTGAAAAAAAACTAATTCACTTGTTTATTCATCAGGTTTTCTATAGACATGTGTATTAGTATGATCTTATAATTGATCGTCCACCTTTGGAGTAATTGTAGTTATCCCATCCTTTTTTGAGTAAAATACCGTTCTTTGACTAATAAAAATATTATTTCTATATGAATAAATAAGTTTTGTCAAGTGTCTACTTACTGGAAAAACTTATTGTTCATGTATATATGGTTTAGTCAGTACTCATAGCTCTTCCCAAGTTACCTTTTTTGTACCTTCATATAGGTTGGACGCGTCAGCGTTACCGTCTTTTTGACCCGGTTGGACTAGAAAAAGAACTATTGAGAAAACCGAAGTTACGAATATGATAGAGTCTTTAGAATTTAGGATTTTACACTGTAGTGGTTACCTATGAATCCCAGTAGCATGAACCTCGTGCTTTTAAGAAAGAATCAATATCAGGAAAGACAGACAGGCTTATTAACCAATAGTTTAGTAACCTATGAATACTCGAAAGTGAAAAGTCCCTTTCAATCTATCTCTTATTTTGTGTTTATTCATATTTCAAATCCTTAACTCACATCCATGTATAATTTTTATGTACATTTAATAGCTTGTACATTTCCTGAGGATCTTGTCACGTTAATTCCCCTCACCATATCTATTTATGTTTCGATTTTGCTCCATTATTATTTTATGTGATGATCTGACAGATCGTCAAAATATGGGCTTAATTGTACTTTGATTCTTGTTTTCATGATGGAAGCAAGATAAAGTGGTCACTCGAATCAACACATGTAGACTCTAAACACTTTAGGAATCCAGCGTGTCAAACTTAGAGTTTCAATACTGTTGTTTGCAGACTGTCAAGATCTGGAGAACAATGAGTAGTGAGGCTGGTCAACTTGATGTCCAGGCTGATTTAAAAAACTAGTCAGATGGTCATGAATTTGGCGATTGGGGATTTATTCTAGAATCAGTTCGCTTACAGATATTGTATAGAGCAGTGGTCACCAGTATACTGTCAGCGATGCATCGATTTCATGCTTGCAGTAACAGAAATGTCAGAACATAATGTTAAGCGATGGTTAGAAAACAACTGTGAGTCTCAGTATGACAGCTACAAAGGGTTTCCAAGTGTTATAATTCCGTTGAGCGTTCAGATACCTTGATGGACATGTGCTGCGATTTTCATATATCATATATTTCAGACCTCACTTATAAAATTACAACTAATCAGCTAGTTCATATCTCATTGAGGATACTAGCGTTTGCGAACCTAGTGAGTGACGGGTTTGAATAGCCTACGCAAACAAATGGTATCAGCTTCACTAGTAAATAATTTTGTGGATAATCTGAACCACTACAGGAAAACAAGTGGCAAGGATTAGCACAGGTCAACTGACCTTCAGTCTTAAATACTGAAGACAACTGGTATTGGACATTGTATACACCACGCACTTGTTTAAAACGTCGGCGTATGTATTGTTTACTTACAACTATACGTAATGTTAAGATTTCTGTTTACATTATATTACTCTAATACCTTACGTTAATAAGGAAAGAAGACATTACTTCGCCTATTTAAGTTTTAAAGACTTTTCTTAAAATCGGACTGTCACATGTAGTCCCAAATTTCGTCGATCGATGAAATATTTAGGCGAATAGTAGACAGTTTGGCGGATATTTAGGCGAAAAGTAGACAATTCTGCGGAAATTTAGGCGAAAAGTAGACAATTCTGCGGAAATTTAGGCAAAAAGTAGACAATTCGGCGGATATTTAGGCGAATAGTAGACAGTTTGGCGGATATTTAGGCGAAAAGTAGACAATTTAGCGACAAGGCGACAAAAAGGAAGAAATCCGCATTATTTCCCCCAGACAGGCGAAAAAGGCGACATTTTGGCGCGTTTTTCCCTTTAGTTCCCCTTTCTTTACCAAAGCATTTTCCCATTTATTTCCCCTTTTTTCGCCTTTATTTCCCCTTTATTGGTTGATTGGGGATGTTTGAGCTGTAAATCTTGGTTTTCTTGGAAATGTCCATTGTTCTGAAAATCCTTTAAATTTCACTCAAAATTTTTATAGGACTGAAATTTTCAGAACCTTGTGTCAAAAAGTTCACAGGATTGTCAGTTTGAGCTATCAATTAAGACAATTGGTTGTCCCAGTATAATTATACTAAAGCTCTTCGTTTTGTTAGATGTGACTTTAATTTCTGGAAAGTAGGTGTCTCACATCTCTTCGAACTAAGGTTTTACTATGGATATGATTTCATTAAAACCATGTTACTTCATTGTATAGCATCGTAGTTCATTATTCATTGCAATTTCTATTTTCACGGTTCGGAGCTCAAATGCAAAGCTTTTGGTTTACTTAATTTTATTAATTATTCTTTTTCTAGGCTTTGGTTCGGTTAAAAAATAAGTTATAAGGCTATCTGTACAGTTAACAATACGACCGCCTTCGGACCTTGAATTTGCTGCTTTTAGTCCTACCGTTCTTCAACCGACCTGTCTGGCATGGTTGGACCTTGAGGAACGATTGTTCCAGTCTATGGAGCTTGATTGGTTCCTCACGATAGGCAAGCCCGATCACCACGTCAAGGTAGCACGAATGTTATTTGTGCTCAGTCTGTTGTGGAATACATTGATCACTTGTCCCTGGCGGTACTTGTAACCTCCATAGTTCAGGGTGCATGTAATTGTTCTTTTGTGGTTTTGGGTCTCAATCGAAAATTAACGAACTATCTAAACCCACAACCCTAATGCTATATTTAACATTCGTATACCTATAATAACTTAGTATTGTTAGATTTGTCCATTATTTATTCACTGATTTTATTTTTATTTATTAATTGAACTATCCGTATTAAACAGTACATACAAACATGTCCTTAACGAGTATAACTAGAGCAACCATTGATTTATGTCCCTTTGGCTCCACGTGTTTAAAAAATCGAGTAGTATCATCAGCGTTTAGCATATTAGCTGGCTTAGTCCAGTAGGTAGTCCTGTATATCATAACTTTATTTTGTCTGTATAGTTCAGTTCGGTTTTCATTTTATTCTGTGTTGCTATATGTTTACTCATTAGAAGTGGTAGGGTTCAATTAAAATTAATAGGACTCCAAACCACCAAATAAACACACATAATTGATAAAATGCGACTGGCAACGTAATCTAGAATGTGCGTTTTGTTCTATTTGGGACTTAGTCGGATATATCTGCACCACAGAGTTGGTGTTCACTCCGGGATTTCAGGCTTGATTTTCGTTCCATATTAATCGCATCATGTGATTTTCAGTAGCTTAATTTGAGGGTTGTTTTCCAGACTTTTCCCTGTTGTACATAACGCAGTTTAAATATGACTTTCCATTTTGTAATTATCAGGTACCATGAATGCAATTAACCCTAACAACTCTAATAACCTAACCTCTGGCTTTGGTCATTCAAACGATATGAATTTTGTGAAAAGTAGTGAGAACTGTTTAGGCGATTCCAATAGCTTATCGTCTGTTGAATTAGCTCAATTACCAATTAACCCAATGTATACAAACAGCTCAACTACGGAAACCGATGTTTTGAAAGCGAATTATGGGATTCCTGCTGATGAGTGTTGGTTGTTCAAACCACCGAAGCAGCACCAAACTCAAGGTTCTATTGAACCCATAAGAACATGGTTACGTGCTATATTTGATTCTCCAGATTCCTGCTTTTTTCATTCGCGTCGAAATCTTCTATCCCGCCTTGAAGCAATCATTTTGGCTGGGGGACAAACTGAAGCATATCAGTTTGGAGGCAGTGTCCCATCTCTGAATCTTATCACTTCAGGATATCCACCGCGTCCGAATACAGGTCGTACAGAACATTCTGTTTATGGATCTGTCGTATCCAATCGTCTCGTAACCGCTAGTTCATCAGACAGTATTTCGTTTCCTAGTCAACAGACAGTAACTAATCCTACAATGAACAATGAGCATGTCAACATGAACACTTTCACACGTTCTCACAAACCAAGAATAAGTTTACCACCTCAGTGCAGTGCAAGTAAATCAGTAAAAAATGGTTCTCATAATCCTAATTCATACTTGTCTAACTCTACTGGAGCGAACTTTTCTTTCAAACTGCCTAACAAGTCTGGGTCATGTGATGAGCTAGAAACTACATCTGCAAACACCAATGTACAGGAAATTGCTAGACGACAAGAAGACACCTTAAAAGCAGAAGTTGCAGCTCTAGCAGCGGCAGCAGCTGCTGCTGGAAAACATGGTAGTCAGCATTCTCTTGCTTCTTTGTGTAGGAATAGCCCACATGGGAGCTACACAAACATCGCCAGTGCTCCAGAAAGCCCTCACTCAAGCACAACAAAGCTAAATCAACCTCAGCAAAATTACGACCATTTCTATGTAAAACAGTCTCTGTCGTTTTCCCAAGAGTTTGAAGGGCAAATTACAAACCAGCAACCAACACAAGATGCTCATCTTGTTAATTATTCGTCTCATAGTCCTACTAGAAAAGACGTAATGTCCAACATTCCTGCTCATATTTCTAGTGTGGCGAACATAAAACAAAACCCTTATAAAATTTTGCCTCAAAAGCCTTTGCTCACAAATATTGTTCCAGAATTGGGGGATGAATCTAGACAATCTCAGAAAATTTCAGTTTCAACACATCCATCATTATATCCTCTTGCGGTGAATGCCACCGGAAACGTGTACCTGTCTTCGGCAGAACCTCGCAGTCATTTCGGTTTTCGGCCACTACAACAAATCTCTACTGGTCCATTCAATAAAACTGTTAATTTAGGATTAAGACGTACATCTGATGATCAACTTCTATCCTCCGGAAACCCAAACCAATAATTTTTCAATCCGTTTTAGTCGAGTTCTAGTCTTTTTAGTTTGTTGTTACTTCGACATCAATTCTTTTTCTCAAAATCAAATGGCTAATATAACGTTATGTTCATTATTAGTTAAGCATTATGATACGCCTTATGTTTTTGCGAAGACTTCGCATTATTCATAAAAAACTCTCCATTCGGCTTTTAGCTTTTTATTTACATTTTGTCAGCTTGCATTTCTCAGCCCTAGTGATTATGTTTTTAAAAAATAAATAGCATTTAATCATCTGATTATCCATATACATAAATAATCCGCTCACTTATAGCAAAGTGCACTTCAAAGGCATAATACATTGGTTATGACCATTTGTGAATTTATTTTGACAATGTTTTTATTTTGGCATTTTGGTAACTTGGTAAACACTTATTATTTGAACTAATATTTATTTTTTTAATTTCTCTATACAAAAAGCTTTACTTGCATAACTTTAATTTGTACAGTTTAATTTTCCCTCAATTTACATTGTAAATTATTTACTTATCATTTATCTTATAGTGGGTTTTTGCTAATGATGGATTCCGATATACCAGGTAAGCTTTATTTGAATAATTTCGTAGGTTTATTTATACCGTTGCTTTCTCACTGACTTACACCAATGTATTTATAGATTGATGGTTTCCCATACACATCCGTACCAAGTTCTGTGTTGATGATAGCTGAATGAGTTTATTGATTTTTGTAAGTATTACTAGTTTAAAAATAATTTTTATCCATTCGTCACGTTTCAAGCGTAATAATCTTATTTGTTTAGATATGATTGATTAGAAGCTAGACAACACTTGTTTTTTATTTTCACTTATCACCAAGTTCAATTCATACACTGGGTATTTCATCTCTAATTATCTGGAACCAGGATTTCCTCACCACTAAATACGATGGTCGAGGTTTTAACCTCTCAGAAATGTTGTGTCCTTCACTCGTTTTTTTGATCAATCGCTATTCAAGTCGTTATTTTATTCTAATATTTTCCGTCTTGTTGACTTTTTGTCATGTTGATATAAAGTTTCAAGTTTGGTATAAACAAATTTGTAGCACTTCTAGGGGTGTTGACGGGTTTAATTGTAGATGACTTGACTACAGATATTTGTATGTTCAACTTCATACTCTTTCACGACAGAAATATAGACATGTAAATCTTAGTACTTCTAAAGGTTGTAGTTTATAGCAACGTAACAGTGTAGCTGTACTTTGACTAAATTTGTCACTTAAACACTTCATATTCTCCAATTTAATGTGTAAAAGTTTTACCTACCCGATTGTTGATATTTTTGCTTGAACGTATATCTAGGAGACGGGTCCTGAATAAAAAAAAACGCGCTTTCTGGATTTTACTGCTAGACACATTCCATCTATTCTATAGGAACTTGTTCCTGTTTTATTCGTCTAGTTTGTTCCGTAATATTGCTTATCTTAATTCTTCTAACTTTATGCTTTTCTTTTTAGATTTCAAAGTTAAGCAAACTGCTGTTGAGGATACATATCAACGAATGCGAAAACTATGTGAGAATTACAAATTGTTCTTGAAACCGGATAATAATGGCAATGAGTTGGATGAACTATATTCAACTAGCCTGAATTTAAGTTATATCCGAGATGATTATGATACCATAAAACGTGAATTATCAGTCATTAAAGCTAATCGTCAAATCGCTCGAAACGCACTTTTAGCTGCCGGGTTTCAATGTCCCGATGATCCACCAACATAGTTTGTTAGTTCTTGAGTCTCGATTCCCTTTTTAATTTTAGAATATTTTTGTATTTCAATTTTCATTGCTTTATGTGGTATATAACTAGAAGATTGATTTTTGTTAGGAACTATAAAGATTAATTCATTTTAACTCTATATATATATATATATATATATATCGGATTTTCCATAAAACTATTATCCGAGTTTTTTGTATGGTGACTGATGTTCTTACTGAGTTATCTAAATTGGATTAGTTCCACAGATGTGACTTACTGGTTAATAAAGTATTTGTGTACATGTCCCCTTATTCTGTTGACCACAAATATTCTTAAATCGTAAACCAACACCTATAACTATTAGCCAAGTAAGGTTTTCTATTTACTATCCACTTGAAAAATAATAAACTTTAATTAATTCGCTAAACGGTGTGGAAGACCAAGTCTACCGCTTGACTAAAATTACTTTCACCTAGGATCAACGATTAATAAATATTACTCGTCGAAATTATTTATTAAATAAGAATTCATTTTCCAAGCTTATACAATCTTAAATATATATAAGTATTTTACAAGGTAATAGTAATTGTAATAATAATGATAATGAAATTCTGTTAAACATAGTAATAGTCAGGTAGAATAAACAGAGGTATTAAAACAATTTTTTAATAAGGGAAAGTAATAATAAATTCAGTTGGTATTTCTTACTCGAATCTTCCCATTGATGATTAAAATTATCATTGGGAAAGGATAGCTCAGCATGCTAAGGTAAAATGTTGAAATTGAGAACAAATGTAATCAGGCGGATCATAGAAACAGAAATGAGGCAGTTGGGGGTAGAGGGTCTATGGAGCAAATGGAAGGGGAAACAGATGGCTATAGAGGAAGAAAATTATGAAGAAGGACGAAAATTACGCGACATTAAGACCATTTTAGAAGAAGAGGTTGTACAAATTTCTTCCGGACACAATTCTGACTTTCCAAGATGTATAGCTGTTGCTTGGGCAATGTTCAAAAATGCTATATAACTGCCTTTGGCAACCTTCTACTTACCTTGTAGATGACTTTGAACGCAGAGTCCGCTTTGATTAAGTGACCTGTGTTCATAAGGTTTTTCGATTTTTGAGCCGTTTCCTCCTCTTTCTAACCAGGACGAGTAATGTTCTTGAATTCCTTTAAACAAAGTGAGAAAATGCATTTGTATACACTCTTCATGATATTACTGAATGCATAAAAGAAGCGAATGTAAATGACAAGATTGTCTTCTTTCCTTATGTCGAGTCACAATTCCCTAATTCTCATAAATAACAGGGATTTTATTAACTGTGTAAATATTTGGTATTTCTTTCAAGGATTCATATGAACAGCTTAGAACTTTATCAAATAGGATTCGAAACTATAATGTTTACTAGATTTCCTCCTGTTCAATTCCTTCCATACACGGTAAAGGAATGTATATAACCTTTACTTTGAAGAAAACAAACTCTATTCTAGTTGTGTCTTAAAATTCTGGTGTTAACGTAGACGAATAGTTGTTTTCTTTTCGTATTTATATACATCAATGATCCTAAACATAATCTGTGTGACATTTTAATAATCCCCTTACTGATGTGTTTTTTTTCACTCACTATAAAATGTAAGTCAGCTTCATAAACTATGTGTCTATCACAGAATTTCTCGTCTTTTATCGCTTCTTTTTCATTTCAGCTCTTAATCATCTATCTACACCGTGAGTACCAGAACTCAAACTTTGGCATCACCATAAAGTGTGTAATTCTTTTTCGCTTTACTGAAAATTGACTTCTAGTTTAGTCTATTATATACTTACATTACTCCAATCTAATCATAGTTTTATTTGTTAACTATCTCATTGTTAGGGAAAATCGTAATTTACAATTTATTTGCTTTTTTAAATTATTTATTTGTCCCTCTCTTTTGTAGCGTTTGATCTGTTTCAATTTAATATTTCTAACACTGTAAATAGTATGAATATGTTCACTTGAAGTTGCCTGAAATAGCTTTTCTTGCATTCTCATAGAAACATGTGTATATATTGGCTTTTGTTCATGAATTACTATTATTATTACTACCTCTTCACATGTGTTTCCACGGTCATAAATTGCTTCAATGAGAAATTGTTTTTTTTGTGTTGTTCTTTGTGTTTACTGCTGTTCAATAATTTTTGGTGGATCATATCTTTCATCTGTTATGGGATAGCAGAATAATGGCCAGCAAAATTACTGGAATGTCTAAATAACTAAGTTGTAAACTATAGGTAATTCAGTAAGGTTACAAGTTAAAATACAAATAAAATTCATTTTTGAGGATATCCTTATTTTGGTATGTAACAAATATAGTTGATAAAGTTTACCTGTAATTAACTGGTAAGAGAATAAGTGTAGAGTTGAAACTTTTGTCTTGTTTCAAGTTGTATCATAGATATTAGCTTATAACTCAGCATGAGCCCCGAAATGCCCTGGTATGGCCGAGAGTGGGAAGAGTCCGCTCACCCTCTCGAAATGCTCTCACATGGCCACGTGTATATAGCCTCTGCCAGGAAAGCCCTACTCACTGCCTTCCCATGGCAGAGGTGTTATTTACGAAATTGAGAGGACGGAAAGCGAATGTCCGGCGCTTTGACCGGGTTGGTGGACATGGAGAGTCCTAGGGGAGTTGGAAAACTCTGATTCCAAACCAATGGTGTACATGGGCTCCAGGATCCTGAGGAAACAAATGGCGTATGAACCAATCGTTGGTCACCGGCTACCATGGGACTGTATCTCCTTACGCTGCTCCATTGCCATGTGAATTAGACCTTTACGTCGAATGCTCGGGGTGTGGTTCTCTAAGAAAACCACCTGCTTCGGTTTGGCCACTCGGGCAGTATCACAGCCCGCACACAAATCAAATGAGATTCGTGTGGCGTATATGTATTTGGTGCCTCCTTGTACCAATATCTATGTGTTCAAATAAAATAAAAACTCAGCATGAACTATTGCATACATTCCGGTAATAATAAGATGCAGTTTAGGTAACGGGTTCAATCGTTGTAGTTTCTTTTTGACCTAGATGAAATGTAGTATTGTAAAAGGAAATTATGACATTAACTCATATCTTATTATTTATTTTCTCAAAAAATGAAAATAATGTCAGTGGTTTTCCGTAAAAGGTAATTATTTTTTCAACGATATTGGAGAATGTTATATTTTGTATGACTTTCAGTTTCATGTTTGATAAAATGCTTAATGTAAAATAGATACAAAAAATCTACATGTTGATAACTGGTGATTTTAATCCCAATGTGTACATGATTTATTTACTCTTAGCTAGCTCGCTTAAAACTATCCAAGTATAGCTCAGAAGAAACGGATATTGCTAAAAATCAAAGTTAGTTACAGTTTCTAATAAACCGAATTTATAGTTAAAGTCGTAAGTCAGATTACAACAATGTTTCAACGTAATGTCTAGTCGATCAACATAGAGTTCTAAAAGTACATATAGAATACTTCGATTCTACTATATAGATTCAAGCGTCATACTTCTGCTGTAGATACCGTAGCCTGTTGTATACGTGAAGTATTAACGTTATGATCACAGCACTTTTCTTTCTACCAATGAGGTGTATGTTCGATTCCCGTTTTGCTTTCATCGGCTTAGATTACTGGGTAATATCACTATGTTAACAGTTTGGTTCAATTCAGATAAATTACAGAAGCATTATTAAAAGTTGTTTTCTGTATTGTATTTTTGGATTGTTCAACTTAAACAAGAAGCATCAGGGATCTAATTTTTAGATCATTATCTTTTACTTTAGCAAAAGCCTATCGGACGCTTTATTTGAAATTAATCATTATTATTACGCTGGGCATTTGTAAATGATTCTATGTGCGAGCAACTCTACATTTTATTTAATCAAGGTGTTAGTGATTAGAAAGTATGTTGAGTTAATGTGTAACTCACATTATGATGGAAAAACCTCAACTATCATTTTTTTCGGATCTTTATGCATGAATCAGTAAGTGTGTGTTATCTGACCAGGAAAGAATACATTCTATTTATTCATAGTTTTGTTACATTTTTAATACTTAAATTTGTTTTCAAAAGAAGTTCTAAATTGTTCTATACATGCTGAAACTAAGGTTTATGTCCAATGAATAGACATAAAGCCTAAATTTCACCTGGTATAGTGCGAAAGATAGAAAGCTGACATGGCTCAGAATCGATCATAATGGCTTAGGTGTATATACTCTTTGTCTTCTTAAATCATGAGACTAAAATTGATTTATACCTTTATTTATACGAACTAGTTCTTTCTTCCTGTATTATATCCTTATACACAATCTTTCTTTTATATATTACTACGATTGAAGTAACTACTATGAATTTGGTGTTCATCTTGTGCTAATGAGGTATGACAACTTGGACCGATGCATATATATGCCTGGTCCTACGTTGCAGCTGACTGACTGACATGTATCACGCTTCGGGCCTCTTTAAAGACATACAAATAATCTCTGATAGCCTAACTTTGATTTTTATGGTTTATTCTGAGTACAGTGCCTTTTAACCCCTATCAAAGCTCTAGTAATTTTTAACACCAGTCGTAGAATAGTACTCTTGATTCTCCATCAGAAACTTAATCATGAGTTTCTTTAGTCACGAATTCAGAATCAGGTTAAAAAACAAACTTTATCTAGCACTTTTATCCATAAGTGTTTTGGAATCAGATACCTCATCAGCTATTCAACGGTATGTTATGTCGTCTACATCATTACTGTGATACTCGTTTCCAAGTTAAAATGTATATCCCTAAAGACATCTATACTTTCAATAACGTGCATAGAGCTTAAAATTCTATTTTATTCATTCTCTGTGAAATATATATTTTGAAATATTCATATCACCCGTTGATTCTATTGGGAATCATTATTCAAAATAGAATTCTCACTATTAATTCTAAATAATCAATAATTTGATTAAAATTTTTTCACTAAAATCATAACTGTAGAAATTTCGTCTGATATTCAAATTCGTTTGATGACATGACGTTTAATAACATTCAAATGTCATTTGATACTGATTAAGTGAACCATACCGTTTTGAATGTTTCGGCTAATTCTCTTGGTTTTGGTTTAATATCTAGCTTGGTGGTTTAAAGTGAGTTAATAAATTGATTGACTTTCATGAGGATTTGTTATTCGGCCAAGTCACTATCCTCTTTTCATGTACTGATATTCTGTCTGTCATTTTAACATTCCAAAATGAAATTATAGCAGTGGTACCAGAAACTGAATATATACACGAAGCATAACGATGATTACCAGACATAAGTAAGCTGACTAAAGTGCATTTATTATCAAGATGAAGCGGTGAGTGACGTGATATCTCTAATTACGTTAGTGAAATAAATCTAAACGACCCTATCAAGAGATCAAAATCTTAAGAGAAACTTTTGATACAAGGTCCTGCAGTAAATAAATTTTATTTTCGCTTTTGACTAAATAAATCTAAAGATGGAGTAAAGTCTGTCTAAACTTTCATAAAATTAGTTGGTATCAGTATTCTAATCAACATGTATTGTCACTGCAACTATTCTTACTTGTACTTCCGTGGAGCGCAAACATGTTACATTGATTATATCAGAAGTTAAATGAAAATTAATTGTAACAAATAATCAGGCTTTTCTACCATATTGTTTTCATAATCATTAAGTGAATTACAATATCCATGTTTACTCTATTTTTGGATCTAGGTCAACTTTAATCAATTTTTTGATTAACAGTTATTAAACTCTATTTCATTGTTGAAAATCAAGTTATTTCTGCTAGAATAATTGAATTAGGATTAGTAACGTATTCCAAATATTCTATTCTTGACCCTTACATTATTAAATGTAATTTCTGGACCAATTTTTATATACTTAATAAAACTTAAATTGATATGCAATACTTGTTAAGAAGTATGACATAATACAATGTAAACTAAATAAATACAAGCGTAATAAAAAACTGTTTGTACATCAAGTCATATTCAAATAATATTAATAAAATGACGACGTTGCTTACTATCAACCACCAGTCAATGGATTACTCTAAACAGAAAACGTGAGACCACTTGTCAACATTATAAGAAGCTCCAAATATCAAGTTGAACAAACTGTTCATACTTCCATTTAGTTTAAATGACTAGTTTCGTTCTGATAATTTATTAGATACCAATGAAGATTGGTTTAGACTAGGGGCAATTGCTTGTAAATTTATTTAGAATTTAGGAGATATATTTACATAATGAAAACAAAATGAACCAATGGGAAACTAGTCTTTAACTTTATTAAGAATAGGGGCCACCTTAATTGGAGGGTTTGATAGACAATAGAACTGTATGCTAACAAAACAGAAATAAAATATTTTATCTGTGGGAAAATCCATCTAAATTTGAGCAAAAAGTTTCACAGCAATTGGGCGCCGAATTAATATAAGAGGAAATTATGTTTGTACCGTTAGCAGCTTTCTGGTGATCGCTTCGAAGTTCTATGAATTGAGTCTTGGATTCCCTACATTGGTTGGCTAGATATCAAACTTATAAAGCAAAAACGACTGATATCTGGTTGATAAAGCAACTTGGATCATCTACGAACTGAGTTGGCTGTATTCACAATCTGGGAATAAAAACATTTAGAACAAGCAAATGTAAGCTGTATCTGCCGTTTGGATTGAATTGTTATCGGGATTGAATTCTCATGGTGAGAAATGTTACTTATCTACTAACTTGATTTTTAAAACGGAGTGTGTTACTATCTCATCATCATACTACACTAAAAATTTCCAGACGTTGATTATCTGAATATATATATGGACAACTGGTATTTTATGTACTGATGTCACGGAGATTTCTTCATCAGTCTAGGAATTGTTTTTGGTTTTGACTGTTGGCTTTATATGTATTTCATTATCATTGTTAACCAGTCAATATGTGACGATTCTTAAAAGGAATTATAATACATGACCAAACAACATATGCCACCTGAGCCCGCAGTGTTTCAAAACATGCCACGTTAAACTATGTACAAGCTATGGTTAATATGTAGATGATTCATCTAATTATACTGGCCACCCACGCGCTTATTTTGGGGTCAGTCTCTCTGCCTGTAAATATATTGTAATCTCTTTCTTGTTTTCTTTATATGTCTAATTTGTCTGATCAAACATATAAGAGCATGAACAGTTGCTGAACCGAACCAGATTGGTGGGGATGTGAAATCCTCATATATTACATTTATAAAATTTTTTTAGAACTCAGAAATTGATTTAAAGTGAGCTTGTTTGATTGACTTCCGATTTGTGTATCAATTTATTCAGAATGAAGTTCATTGTTTTAGTTAATGAACTGTGATTTGTATTAAGTTGTAATTATTCCGTTCATAAATTATAATCATTTCAATCGATTCATAGTTGATTAACTTTGCTTTCCTTTTTAAAAATATGTTTATGATTTTCTCTAAGTCGTGTTTTGACCGGTCGAGTTAAGTAAAGT